AAAAAAAAAAAAAAAGAAAGAAAGGTTCCTTGGGCATGAGACGTTACTAATTTAAGGCTGTGTAATTTTTAAATTTGGAATATAAAATAACTCTTTTAAATTGAGGTTATACACAAAATCTATTGGAAAAAAGTATTCTAAAAAATTCTCAAATAAAATATTAATCCTAACACTTCATGAGAAGCCAACCAACCAACCAAAGGTGCTCAATTAAAAAAAAAAAAAAAAATCCTGAGCCTACTGTAACCCCAGTTTACAAGAACAGATTTGTCCTATTTATCAGAAATACTACTTGAACACACAAGAGAAAATCATTAGGACAAAGTCAAGCATCCAAAGGGTTCATACCAATTTCCTCAGGAAGATGAGTAAGCAGATTCTCTCCAAGGCCTAGATGTGTGAGATTGGTAAGGTGACCAATGCCTCTGGGAAGAGTGGTCAACTGGTTGTTTGTCAAGACTAATTTCTAAAAGATTAACAAAATAAAAGACAGTTACATATATATTTCCTACAATTGATGTGAACTTAAAATAGTACATCTTCTAAACCAATAAAATAAATAGGGAATCAGGTTGGGTAGGATGAGAATCACTTAATAAATTGCAGGTTTTTCTTTCAAAAAATGTCATTTGTCAAGAAGACAAAAGCAGACAGGTTATATGAACATAAAACTCAGCCCTATCAATGATTTAATAGGAAAATCTATCTGGTCTAAGAATTAGAGTAAATTCTTAAGAAAAATACGCAATTCGGAATAGATTCTCAAAAATTTAATCATGTAACTATAAAATCATCATGATAATGTTTTACCTGTAAATCCTTAAGATAAGCAATTTCATTTGGCAAGGATTCCAACTTGTTCTCCTCTAGATCCAACTCTCTTAACTTCCTAAGGTTTCCAAGACCATGGGGAAGCTTCTTTAGAAGATTGTTTGATAATATTAGAACCTAAAGAAAAAATATTGATAGTGCTTGTCAATTCAGGAAATGAGTTGATATGTAACTGTTACTGTGTGGCTTAAAACATATTAAGCAATTCTAATTTTCCAAAACAGTGAATATTACGGGTAATGTTCAATTATATAATACAAAAAATATTTTTAAAATTACCATAATTATTGGAAATAAAGATTTTTATTTGATTAAGTCAAAACTAATGAAAGTAAAGAATATAAATTTAAGTTTTTAAAAAGAGAATTAACTACTTGCACTAAGAGTCACATCAACAGTATTTTGATACTCAATAGCTACAACTGTTTATCTAATAGGAAACCAATTATTTATTCAAAACCCCTTACAAACCATCATTTAAGGAAGGTAACAATTTAGTTTTAAACTGCTCATATCAGTCCAATATAGGATTTATTTAATATATTGAAAGGCATACTGCAAGATACTGAAGAGGGAAAAAAGGCTGAGGAAGACAGTGCTTGTCCTCAGAGAAGTTATAATCTGGAGACTGGGGGCGAGAGGGCAAAGGGACAATAACGCATATGGGGATAGTGGAAAGAGCACTGAGTTGAAAAGATCTACATAAGATCTGGCTAATTTTTTTGTGCTCATTTATTTTCCCCTAAAATTATGCCACCCCATATTAAAATAAACATATACAATAAGACCAAGAAAATAATGTTGTTGTGTTGTTAGATGCCATTGATTTAACTCCAACTCATAGCAACCCTATGTACAACAGAAGGAAACACTGTCCAGTCCTGCACCATCCTCACAATTGTTGCTATGCTTGAGCCCATTGTTGCAGCCACTGTGTCAATCCATCTCGTTGAGGGTCTTCCTCTTTTTCCCAGACCCTCTACTCTACCAAGCATGATGTCCTTCTCCATGGACTGATCCTTCCTGATAACATGTCCAAAGTATGTGAGATGAAGTCTCACCACCCTTGCTTCTAACACTACCATTTACTGATTTTACTATTTGTAGGGCACTGGACTAAATGCTTCATGTGCATTATGACACTTTATCCTAAGTACAACACTATGGGGTAAATACTATTTTCTCCATTTCACGGCTAAGGAAACTGAAGCTGGGGCTGGTTAAACCCACAACTATAAAGAGATAAAATTGGGAGTGTACCCAGACCTGCTTGATTTCAAAGCCCATGCTTTTAATCATTACCCCATACTATCTCACCTCATTAAATAATGAAATAATAAAGAAGTAAGATTTAAAAAAAAAAAAAAACATGGATATAAGTGAAAATTTTAAAACAGATACATGCATCATAAGTAAACTTTTTCATCAAACAAGGCACAAACATGAAACTGTAGGAATTCATTGGCAGAAGAAATCATATTGACCAAGGAGGGACAAATGAAATGGATCTTTAATTATGGAAAAGAATTTTAATATAAAAAATTAAGGGGATGAGAAAAGGACATTCTAGATAAGTGTACAAAGCTAGAAACATGCACGCCACATTTCCAACAGAGAAAATTATTTGATTAGTAAATACAGTAGTAGTAGGTGGGTAATTAGGATGGAAAAGTAAGACAAAGTCTTATGATGAAGGCTTCTGAATGCCAGTCTAAGGAATCCATAGTTATTTCGGTAGATAAAGGTACAGTTCTTAAACAGTGTTAAGAAAACAATATGTTATAAAAGATGCTAAGTTTTAGGGACCTTTACTTTCAATGATGCCTTATAGCACTTAAACCTATCAACTCTTTAGTGGGCAAGAGATTCCAAAGCATCAAGACTAATTAAATCCACACCTCATCATCCTAATAGGGTTATAAGTTTTAGAGAGTTCTATCATTTCTAATCATGCTCTTCATCCAAATAGAAAATTGAATAATCTGAAAATTTGTAAGTGAGATAACTGTGGAAGGGGTATTACTGTTGTTGTTGTTAGGTGCCATTGAGTCAGTTCTGACTCATAGTGACCCTACGTACAACAGAACGAAACACTGCCCGATCCTGAGCCATCCTCACAATCGTTTCTATGTTTGAGCCTGTTGTTGCAGCCACTATGTCAATCCATCTCATTGAGGGTCTTCCTCTTTTTCGGTGACCCTCTACTTTATCAAGCATAATGTCCTTCTCCAGGGACTGGTCCCTCCTGATAACATGTCCAAAGTACAGTATGAGCAGTTCTAAATGTTCTTTCATACCCACCTCAAGAGAAACGAGACCAGACACATCCTCCGGTATCTTTGTCAGCTGATTAGTGGCTAAATTCAATTCTACCATACTGGTCCAAGTTCCAAAGTCCAAGGGAAGTGATGTTAACTGATTGTCCTGGCAAAGACAAAAAGAAGCATTCAAGACAAAAACCCATAAAAACAAAGCCCCAGATACACTTCCCTTGAGAAAGAGAATTCTTAAAGAGAAAACCTTATTCCCTTTTTTTTGATACCTACATATAGAAAACACGTTAAGAACTCTATGCATCTAAAATTTTCCATATAGTTAATAGGTTTTTATTTTGAGGTTAAACTTGAAGCTTGTTCCCTATATGATCATGTATAATAAAAATGAAAAAATATACTACACAAAGCAACACTTGAAATTTCAAAGGTCCTAGTGGTAAATATAATATTTTCTCCATTTCACAATAATGTACAGAAACCAATGAATAAATGTGAATGCTCAAATAAAGATATGAGCACAATGGAAGAAGAAACACCCAATCATGGCTCACAAGGAAACCCAGACAAGCTCAGTCAGTCCAGAGATGCTAGACAGTAAAGTCAGAGAGGAAAAAAAATATCTTAATAAGATAGTAAATTAACTAATTAAAATCCTAACTAAATATCAACAATTTTATAACTTCACTTAAAATTCATAAGAAAAAATGGTCAAAAACACATTTATCATTAAAAATAAAATCATGATAGAACAGTTATATGAAGCATGATCCTAATTTTGTTTAAAAAACAGGTATAGCTATACACAGAGGGGAAAAATAAAAAAAGTGAAATACACTATATGGCAGTGATTCACTACCTTTTTTCCCTGCCTCCACACATCATTCACTTATAAAACACAGTTCCATCAATAACAACTCTTACCACACTGTTGGGAGCATTGAAACTATCAGCCCTCCTTGTCCCAGCTGGTTATCTATGGTACATGCCAATTTAACAGTGATGGGATTATTTCCTTTTTTTCTAACCTGTATATTCTAATTATTTTGCAACATGCATGGATATTTTACCTCATTTTACAAAAAATCATCCACAGAGAAATTCCAAGTAGCAAACAGCCTTTTTAAAACCAATTTTTCTTTTATTATATTTAAACATGTTACCTATTTTAAGAAAGATATCTATGTCCAAAGTACTGATAATTATAATATTATAAAGTATTTTGATTTTTAAAAATTTATTACTGATGCTTATAGGAGGAGAAAATGCCAGGCTTCATTTCAACTACTTTCAAGAAAAACTTTTATTAAACATTTTTCATGATGTTTAAAGAAAAATTAAGGCAAAGCATAGTTTTATTTTTATTTCATTGAAAACAGCAAACTTTTCCAAGCTAACATATTGTAATAACACATCTACAAAAATGTATAATCAAATGCACAAACTAATGAACATCTGGACAACTGTGTTCTAAATTTCTCATTACAAACTGAATATTCAGAATTAATGCCATTACCACTACTAAATCTCAGATAACCAGACTGGTTAACAACACATTTTACACTTGTTTAAGATTACAAGATTATCTCAAATTTCAACTAGTTCACTTATTATATACTTCCAAAGAATCATCATAAAAGATACACAATACTACAATTATGAAAAATTGTAGACAGAATTAAGAAATTGTGAATTTAGACTGTAGTTTAAGAATCACAATTATGGTGAAATGATTCATCAAAGATAAAGAGATGTAGTGCGATACGGTACGGCAAGAAGAACACTAAACCTAGAAGCACTTATTACAAAATGTGAAACTCATTCACTGTGGCATATATAAACAAAAAGAAACTAACAATCATCCATAAGTAATTCCTATGTCCAAAGGTAAACATTATATTTTAGTAAACATTGTGTATGTGTACTTAATATATAATTAAGCATATTATAAAGGGCTTTTTAAAAGTGTGTGTGGAAAGAGATTCTTACCTGCTCTAACTTTTTTGTACTTAATAAATTGTGAATATTTCAACTGATATTTAATCTTCTTCTAGATTATAATTTCTAATGGCTCCACAGTGTTCCACGGATGATATATTACTCTTAAAAAATTAAATTCCTATTAATATTGATATAAATTGGTACCAATGAAACAGCTAGCTCTGCAATAAGTATCCATATAACTATATTTTAACAGACATTCATGATTATTTCTTTAGGACAAATTCCTGAAGGTATGCACAATTCTAAGATTTTGTTACCTAATACAAATCATTCTGAAGTATCCTTATTATCAGTTGAGACTACCAGCAAAGTATGAGTACCTTTCCCCACACCAATTAATAAAACATACATATTAGTAGAAGTACTAGCAAGCGCAGTTTTTTAGTGCCTTCCTCCCAATAAAAACACAGGCTTACCTTCATATTCAGCTTACTTAATACTTTTGCTCTGGAAAAAATTCCAAATGGGATTTTATTGATTCGATTGTGTTCCATGTTGAGGGAATAGATGGTGGAAAACTGAGATGGACCACCCATTGGATATAACTGAAAGCAGTTTCTTGCAAGGGTCAAGCTATTCAGTTTCACCAGACTTGATAAAAGAGTCTGTAAAAAAAAATGAAATAAACGTAAATAAATAAGAACTGTAACAAGACTTTAATCTGTATGGTATAGAAAAGCAGTCCCAGACACAAATGCCTCAAAGGTAATAAATGGCTGAGACTGGTCAAGCAGGTTCTATGATCCCTCATTTAGATGGATAGTCACTACTCAGCTCGAGCTAATTGCTGCCATGCAGGAATGTGAACACAACTTAGTCATATGTCCAGATTTTGCAAGAAACTGGAAATTCATTTACTTATATGAAATCTTGATTTTTATTCTTTAGTTTCATTTTACTTAAAGCAAACTATGGAGTACAGAAAACACATCTGTGGGTGACAAGTGTTTCATGAGACCTCAGCAAAAACTTCGCGTTAGACAAGTTCTGGGTCTAAGTCCTGGCTCTGCCACTTGTTGTATGACCAATCCATCTAGGTCTTAGTTAAGTACCTGCCTCTAAATTATTATTAAGATTAAAATAATGCCTGCCACAGGGGAAATAATTAGATGTTATTCAGTAATTCAACGGTTCCTTTTAGAAAGATTAAATTTAGATGATGATTATATTTCCTGATATTGTATAATATGTTGCTTTTCTATGTGGAAATATATCTGAGGAAACATATATATCAATCAAACAAGTATTTACTCAGCACACACCCTCATCACCCCTATTTCAGCCTCCTACCATGCAACCCCAGTGCTAGGCGTTTAGGTATTATAAAAGAATATCTGTCATTAAGAACCCTAAACCCTATTTAGAGAAATAAATCACACAGGTAGGAAACAATTAGAAAATAATACATAATTACATATAATCAGTAATAAATTATAGAATGGGCTCTTGCTATTGAAAGTGTAGTTCAAGGAAGAGCAGCATCAACATCCCTTGAGAGCTACACAGACATGCAGACTCTTGGAACCCACTCCTACAACCAACATTTGCAGTTTACCAAGATTCCCAGTTGATTTGTATGCACATTAAATTTTGAGAAATGTTGGTATAGGTTATAAAGTAATGTTGATTACTGGCTCTGTGACTTTAGGCAAGGTACTTCTCTGAACCTTAGTTTTTTCATTTGTAAAATGATGATGTCTTATTTTACAGGTTGTAGGGAAGACTAAGAAGGAGCCCTGGTGGCGCAATGATTAAGAGCTTGGATGCAAACCAAAAGATCAGTGTTGGAATCAACCAGCCACTCCGCAGGAGAAAAGACCTGGCAATCTGCTCCCACAAAGATTACAGCCCAGGAAACTCTATGGGGCAGTTCTACTCTATTCTGTAGAGTTATTATGAGTCGGAATTGAATCGCAGACATGCAACAACAGGGAAGACTAAAAGAGATAAAATACATAAATGGCTTTATAGTATCTGGCATATAATTAAGTGGTTAAATTTTAAATCCCTTCTCTATTTAAATTCAAAGAAAAGAAGAAATTCTGGAATAACCAGAAAAACAGAAAAGAGGTTGAAACTGAGCTAGATTCTGAAGATTAAAAAAAATTTAATATGTAGAGAAGTAGAAGAAAGTGTCTTAGACTGGAATAAAAGCACAAGCAAGAAGAAAATGTACAGTGTGAGGTGTGTTTTAAATAATTTTCAAACTTCAGCCATCTACCAAGGGCAAATTCAAGATATAGTACCGGAGGTGTCACTACGATTTGCAAGGCTAGCTGAAGGAATGAAATAACTATATAATACCAAACCAAAACTTGTTGCCATCAAGTCGATCCCGACTCATACAGCAGACCCCATAGGACAGAGAACTGCCCCACAGGGTTTCCAAGGCTGAAATCTTTACAGAAGCAGACTGACACATCTTTCTCCCGTGGAGCAGCTGGTGGCTTCAAACCACCGACCTTTTGGTTAGCAGTCTATCGCTTTCACCACTAGGCACCCTGGACTCCTTAACTATGTAACAGAAGGTATAATTATACGGTGAACTGAAACTTGTTCTTTATACTGAACATTAACAAGTTACTCTTAATATTTGTCTATTGTCGTATACTGATAAAAGGAAGAGCACAGGTATGAGTGGTGATAAGAAAACTTTGTATGGCAGTCAGTCCAGGAAAAATAATATCTACAGCCTACTTTATTGAAAATAAAGGAACCGTAGTGAATCTTATGCAAAAACGCTGTTATTATTACGACTGATTTTATTGAACTGATATTCTTCTATGAAAAATGTTAATATCTAGGTATATCTGAGAAGGGGCAACAACAAGACAACCTCCAACCTTTCATTCTTAGGTTATATTATGAAGCCTGAGGCTGTTTATCATTGCTTCAGAGTCAGACAAGTCTGGGTTCCTATCTCAGATCGTCTACTTACCAGTTTTATAACCTTTGGTAAATTAATTAGATAATTAATATACTCTCACTGTATTCCCAGAAAAATATTTAAGATAACAAAGTTGGCCAAAACATGACCTTTCTTAAGCCTATTTCTTGATCTATTAAATGAAATTCCTAATAATTAGTGGGATTCTTTACAATAAATAAGATATGGGATAACACATCTAAAGCTCCTTTCCTTATGCTCTGAGCACAGCATGTGCTTAAATTTATTAAGTTCCTTTTCTTTGTGTATATATATCTACATTAAAACTAGTCTATTTTCAGATAGTCTTCAAATGGAAAAATATATAATCATTTTGTTGGCTCTGGTTTCAGCAATATGAGTCCCAGTCCAATTGAAAACATCTTCCAAGATTTTTCCTGCCTAAAGCAGCTTGAATGTCTCATAAGTGCTGTCTAATGGATTTTGTTGTTTTCCTTATTGTGCTTATTATAAATGTAGATAATTACACATTTGCACTAAGAATATGCTGCTTCCAAAGCACACAAACTACTTTTAAATAAGAACACTTTCCCGTATTTAGAAAACGCCAATCAAGGGTTTCCCTCGCAGCTTCTCTTCTGAAAATGGGCCAGTTTACACTTACACTCACACACACACACACACACACACACACACACACACACACACGCCTTCTTCCGCGTACAAACTAAACACAGTTGTCTGTCCTCTTTACGATTCTCTTTGTCAAAAGTAAATCTTGACTTATTTCAGTTACAAAATATTGTATACAAAAGTACCTAGGCACAATGTCTGTACCCTAACAGGTACCCGATAATTATTAGCTTCTTTTCACTGATAATGGAGCCCTGGTGGTGCAGTGGTCAAGAGCTATGGCTGCTAACCAAAAGGCTGGCAGTTCAAATCTACCAGCCGCTCCCTGGAAACCCTATGGGGCAGTTTTACTCTGTCCTATAGGGTCGCTAGGAGTTGGAATCAACTCGACAGCAATGGGTTTGGTTTTGATTTTTCACTGACAATACGATTGGATGTATATAAATTTACTTTTTGAATTTACTTAATATGACTCAGTCTAATGCATATTGATACTGTAAAAGCGGTCAACCTTATTTAAGCTCACAAATCACAACCAACAAGAATATCAACAAGGCCTAATTAATATGCTAATTGTTTGATATGAATCACTGTTAGAAAAAGGGATGACATTAAACAAAGCCCTGCCCATTATGATAATTCTAAATTATCACCATCACAGAAAGACAAGAATCCAGACAGTCAAGTTCTCAGGGCTCTATCTAAATCTGTAGGTTCTACTCTTTATCCCACTATTGTTAGTGCTAACAATAGTACTCTTTTGCCATAGGTAAGATACTGTCAGAGTAGTCTTAATGAACTAGTCCAGCCTAGAAATTACAATCCTGGGAAATTTTTGTTCTCTGCTCCAAGTGTTTTCTGAAAACTCAAATCAATAGATGCAAATTATTAGGTTCTGTATCTTTAAGAAACAAATGAATACATTTATTTTTTAAATTAATGGCTTCAAACCTTTAGCTTCATCTGCCTAAATGGTTCTTCATAAATCAAAGCATAAATCTGAAAAGCATTCATCCAAAGCACCTGTAGTCTCCTATCTATCTATGATGAACATATTATATATACATATATATATATAAACAGAAACCCTGGTGGTGTAGTGGTTAAGAGCTATGGTTGCTAACCAAAAAGGCTGGCAGTTCGAATCCACCAGGCGCTCCTTGGAAATCCTACGTGGCAGTTCTACTCTGTCCTATAGAGTCACTGTGAGTCGGAATCAACTCGATGGCAACAGATCTGGTATATGTGTATATGTGTGTGTGGATATATACATACATATAAACTCAATAGGGCTAATTTACACAAAATATTTTTAATATTTTAAAAAAGACCCTGCAAAGATCAATTCATAAATACACAAAAATCCATTTTTTTTTTGTTAGAATACTGCAATAAGGTACTATGCTTGAATAACCATAAACAAACATACCACAAGTTGTTTGCTATGCTAAAATAGTAGGTAGGTAAAGAAGGAAAGGCAAGAGTAAAATAATAAACAATGTTAAGAGGATGATTTTAAAAAATACAAGTACTGTATTTTACCCAATTAATCCCTAAGCAAAGTAAGTGAAAATGTTTTCATAACAGAACCAACAAAACTCAAATTAAAAATGTGTTAAAAAAATAGGCTTTAAAATTGTTGCATAAACAGGATAATAAGTTGGTCACATGAAGGTTACAGTTAATATTAATCTGGATAATAAACAGTGTGTTCCATCTAGTCTATTCTTTTACACTGATCATATTACATGACCTTTTTACAGTTGAACTGAGGAGAGCAGTTTACTTTAAAACCAGCCATACAAATTTTCCTTAACAGAATTTATCGCCAGTTCCCAAAATGACATGAGAAAGATTTACACGGTGCTAAAAGGGATAAGTCAGAATCGACTCAGCAGTAATGGGTAAAAGGGAATGTGGAGTCCCTGGGTGGTGCAAACAGTTAACAAGCTAAGCCACTAACTGCAAAGTTGGAGGTTTGAGTCCACCCAGAGGCACTTCAAAAGAAAGGCCTGGCAATCTACTTCTGAAAAGTCAGTCACTGAAAACCCTATGAAGCACAGTGCTACTTTGACTTACTTGGGGTTGCTATGAGTTGGGGGTCAATTTGAGGGCAACTGGTACACTAATTTTCTTCTCATTATAAAAAAAAATATATATATATATTTTTTTATTATGTTCCTTATAATCATAGGAACCTTGGAATTTCTCTTTCCCCTTTGGAATTTTTATATTAGTGGTGGCTATTTATCCATCTCATGCTCATTATTTAAGTAATCCCAACTGCAAAATTATCAAATTATTTACCTAGCTGCAAAGAGTTACTAGTTTTCCCCTCATTATGTTGCAGATTTGTTTTTAGAGTTTTCCCTAATCCACTTCTTACCTCTGGTAAAGTAGAAATGTTATTGTTCTCTAAATTTAATTCTTCAAGTGCACTACATTTTGCCAATGATCTGGGTATTGCTGACAATCTGTTATATCTCAGACCAAGACGACTTAAACTGGACAGGTTTCCTGTGAACACAAAAAAAGGAATTTATTTTTTTAAAAATCTGGCGAGCCTCTCACTGTCACAGGCGATCAATGAGATATTTATGAATGACTCTGAAGTACTATTTCAGCAAGATCCATAACTTTTAGTACCAAGGAACCACACACTGCACTCCATCAATTAGGATCAAATTGAAATCCCTTCTGTGCCTACTAATCTTAGAGAAATAATGAAATGCACAGCTATAAGTCAATATTAAAAATGAATTATTAGAAAGTATTGGCATACTTTAACAAATTAACCTTTAGATAAGGCCTAATTTAATTGCATCAAAGTAGTAGAGGCAGTCCCGGGTTACTAACCTCAGACCTACAGGGATAACTTGTACTTGCCGTTTAATGTTATGTAAATTTGCCTTCACTTTGAAAGGACTGAACCAATCCCTACTGGGAACAAACTTGTCATCACAATCACCTTCACTTGCTGCATGTCCAGCTTTTAAATCATTGAAAAGGCTTCGAGCCTTTTCTTGCCTTAAAGTAAGGCTAAATAAGAACCGTATGCACCTGTTCTAACTTACCTACAAATTCTTAAAGACACACTAAAGAATGGATCTTGTTTGTTACCCGGGGACTGCCTATATATATTTTAAAACTATAATTATCCCATTTGTATCTATGTGATCAACTTAGAACAAGTGGTTATATACAAAAATGTACATGTAAATTCAGGGAACCATTTCTAAATTTCTAGATTGATACTATCTAAAATGTAAGATGAAGAATTATTTTGTAAGATCAGAAAGGTTCAATTTTTCCATTAGTTTAAAGATATTTTAAAATTTCTCTGAAAAATTGACCTGATGGTAAAAACAAACAAACAAAAAAATCTCAAAATAAAAAATTACAAACAAAAGTTTTAGTCTCCCTTACTACTTAAATCATACACAGCTTGAGCACAAATTTGCCAGTACTGAATAAAAAAGAAAGCAGAGTAAAAAAAAGGCATATTTTCCAGTTTTATTGGTAAGCCTATATTTAAGTAAACTACAAAGATGAATACGATGAATCCTATATTTGCTATTATTAAAGGTTTATATTAAATTTAATTTCCCAAACAATATACATTATACAATGTAAATAAGTTGATTTTCCTGCCAAAAAATTTAACAGTAATGAGAGTTTACATCAATGTATTTCTTTGTCATGCTGATTAATTTCTTTTTTGACTTCAAGTTCAATGGTTGTTATGACTTCATTGGATGGGCCAGGTTAAAATGTCAAATGTAGCCTCTACTTTTAAATTAAACGGTTATTTTCAGTGTTAGAAATTACAGACCTGGATGCCTATGTCACACTTAACTCTTTGAACACAAATACTTTGATGCCCTTCAACTTTCAGCAAACTTCTGATGTCCATCTGTTTCCTTCTTTTTGCTTTGATCATTTTTCAAAAAGCTGCTGCATGATCAACTTTGTATCTTATATATGCAACATTACTACAATACTTACAGAAACAGGTATTAGCCTACAGTATAAATTAAGCTTGACACACTGGAAAGGCAGTCACTATGCAGAGTCTACATAGTCATCACTCAACTGCATTTTTCCCTCTTGTTGAAAAAAAAATCCGTGGCTGAAGTTGTAAGAAATGACTGGAGCTAATTTTTACCCTTTACATTTTCAAGGTAAGAACTATAGTCATTGATAAAAAATATTCTGATGGCTCTATACCATAACTTTGGGCAGCTATAATGCAGGAAAACTTAGCAATCATTTCAATTTCTCCAACTAGAACTACTCTTAGGTATGCTATTCTCATTTATATTCTGTACTTCTTCTGTAATAGTGTTTGGGAACTGGACCAAGAGTTTGCTAGTCCTGATTAAGTCAGCTTTTAGTAGGCATAAAATTGGATATGAAAGCAACAACAAAAACTACCACTTAGCACAGACAAGTTAATTTTGTCTTTAAAGTGCTTTCTAAATTGTTAACTAAGAATCTTTCATGAGTATAGTTCTGAGGACACTCTGGTGAGATATGTTAATTTGGGAGGAGGGGAGGAAGCAGAGGATTGGATGACGTTCCAAAGTCCCAGAAAATTTAGTGATTAGAAATAAGGGTAAGAATTTTTACTACTGCTATCATTGTACTATGATAGTATGTGATACAAGTATTAAACTTAAAAGTTGTATTGGTAGAAAATAATCTGCCTTATGACCAGATATGTTAACTATAGTCATATTTAAAATGGCAAAACACTGGGGACAACCTAAATGTTCAACAATAGAAGAATAATTATTTAAATTGGAGGCATTACAGTATAATAAAAAAATCAAAGGATTTTATATCACCTATGTGACTATAGGTAAGTTACTTAACCTCTCTGAATCCAGTTCCTCATCCATGAAGTAGGGATAATAATACCACATACACAACAGGGTTGCTCTGAATGTTACATATAACGTGTGTAAGATACTTAGCACAGCGATTGATACATAACAGGTATTCAATAAGTGATTTTTATTCTATGATATGTCTACATTCTGCAATATTCTGTACCTATTAAAAGTATGTTACAGAAAAATTTGAAGATGTGAAAAACTTTAGGTTCTGATGTTAAGTAAAAAAAGCAAGATAAGGAGAGACTCCGGCAAGATGGCGGTCTAGGCAGAAGCACCACGCCGTCCCTCCACAACAAAGATCCGAAAAACTAAGCCAAACAGAGAATCAACAATCCTGAAACCCTAGAACATCAAATGA